GATCCGGCCCGTTTGAAATGAATAAAACTAAAAAAAAAAAGACCGTACCCTTTTATGTAATGATGTTTACTTTGAATTTATATTAGTTCACACAAACACTCCATCCATGCTTTTGTTCCGGCCCTCCGGTCTAGTTTAAGAACCCATTGTGGCCCTCGAGTCAAAAAGTTTGCCCACCCCTGGCTTAGAATATAATAGTTGCTCAGTAAATACATTGAACAAGAAGGCCCTCTAAATATTTAATTGTATCTTAATGCAATCTTGTGTTCTATCTTCTTTTATAAGGACTATTTCATCTCTCTTTTAAATTGTTATGATTTCATTTCCTAAACTTTTAATTGTTTTTGTTGCATTATTTTGACATTAAGTTCTTTCCCTGTCTCTAGACTAGATGCCGAGTTTTGCAAGAGTGTGTCCACCGCCCAGGGTCTTTGGGAAGTTTAATTTATCACCTCTCATGAAAACTAGAAGGTAACGAAAATAAATTTTTGGGCATAATCAGTCACAACGTCTTTTCTGATAAAGATCTTTTGTCTCAGAGGAACCTAAGAACAGCAAAAGAGTCTGCCTCTGCAATGATGAAAAGGCCAATTCCCACTGGCAATTACTACTGTTAGAATATAAACCACCACTGAACCAGTGGCTGGGAATTCAAATTTCACACATTCAAGCCTCATAAAGAAACATGAGACATTAGCTCAGGAAGTGCAGATTCAACACATAAGAAAGTAAAGTAGGGACTTTCTGTGTCTTTGGTGAGTCTAAGGTCAGGCACTTACTTGGAAGCACACGGAGTCTCGTTCCACTCCCGAAAGTGAGTGTTCTGCCTCCTGTGTCTGCACCCTGGTACATGGCAGTACAAATACCTGCCCTCTGCCACCCGGGGCGGTTGGTTGGCCCCCTCCCACATTTACAGCCCTCACTCTTGGGAACAGAGCTTTTTAAACAGCCTGCTCCATGGTTTTGAGGATAAATTTCTCTCTCTGTGTCACTTTAGGTTCAATAAACAGCCCTCCTAGGTTTCTACTTCCCTCCCTGCGGTACCTGCATCCTCCCTGCCCAGTCCAATGATTTCACTCTTCAGAAATGCTGAGTCCTGTGCCAGGGCTGCCATGGTCACCATGGAAAGAAGTCTCAGGATGGGTCAAACAAGGACTAAAAGGTGGCCTTTGGGTCTGAGCCTTCTTCTTTCACAGAGCGCAGGAGGGATGGTGGTGGTAGTGCAGTGGCGTGGTTAACAATGCAATGGAGTAAAATAGATTCGAGTTAAACTCTGGCTCTGTCACTCCTAGTTGTGTGATTTGGGGCAAGTTTCCTCACTTGTGAAATGGGAATAATAGCAGCAGCTACCTAACACCAGGATGGGCATGATCATCAAATGAAAAATTACACGAGGGACAGAGTGTAGTCACGGGCACATGTCAGGCATTCAGTCAGTCAGTAGTAGCGAATAAGAGGATGATTCCAGCAACACTTTATACGGAGGGAAAGGGAAGCAGCTTCTTGCAGTCAGAGGAGAAATGTCCCCACCCCACCACCCACTCCGGCACCACTGGGTGCCTCAGCACCCTGTCTGGGATGCTCTCATGTAGGACAAATAGCTCATGTGTCCAAGGGAAGGTGCTGAGAGAGAGCCTCAGTTAGAGGGTTGAGGGGCGGGGTAGACCCTTGGCTGTCAGGGATAAAGTTCTGCTTTAGCAACCTAACCAAGAATGAAATCTCTTTTCTCAAAACGTGGGCATTTGTCCTCTGCAAGCACCGTGCAAAACCCTTGTCCACACAGCCTCAATCCCTCCATTAGACCTGACACTCTGATAAGTTACTCCCAGACAACAAAGGACTCCTTCCACGACGAGCAGACCAGACTCTCATTATTGTGATATCCTTCCAAAATGTATTTCTGTCTACATTTCCCTTGATCATTTCTATAACACTCACATGGATGAACAACAAGGCTGGTCCCTCTTCCAAACGTAGGTATGTAGTTTCCTCCTGATACACACAGCAGGAAAGCCTTTGATAAAACCTGTCTCCTGTGACCCCCTCTACCCACTGCCCAGGGGTGTCAGGGCAACAATCCAGGGAAACACTGGCCCATGCTCCCTGAGGTGCAGGAATCTCTCACGGCTGTCCTCAGGCCCTGAGCCATGGCCTCAGAGCAGTGATGGGAGCCTGGGGTTAGGGGCTGGACAGCTCCTCACCCCAGTCCCCAGGAGAAAACACACACTCCTGTCAACAGAGAAGCGGGGCAGCAACTCCCCACACCACCACCACCACCGCCGACCTGCCTGCTTAGGCAACACTAAGGGCCTGACTGCACCTCTGTTGGCAGACGGAAGGGGCTCCTAACGTGCCCCAGGATGGAGGCAGAGGAGATTTGATATTACATTGTGCTGACGGGTTCTGACCGCCTTTCTGGAAGCTCCCCTGTCCTGTCTTTCCCTTTCCTTTGCTCTTTGAAGCTTCCCTTCGCAGCCTTCTTCCTGGGGACCAGGGATTGGTCCCTGCCTATCCCTGTTCCTGGCCAGACTCCAGGCAGGATTCAGGCCCGTCTTGATTGGTGTGTTCATCCTTCCCTCTTTACCTCCTGGAAATAGGCCAAGGCCCCCAGAGCTCTTTGGTTCCCTTATTTCTAATGAGCTTCATTCACACAGGGCCCTGCTTTTATGAAAGGCTAGGACAGAAAAAAAGTCACAACAATTTCCATAACATTTTTGAAAGATGGGAGCAAACCGAGATCACACTCCTACTTCAGAGACACGAGGTGAAGCTCACAGAAGTCACGGCCTGCTGGTCTGTGGTCCTGGGCTGAGGTGGAAACTCTACCCTCAGTCTCTGACCGCTGTGTGCTGTCCGCCCTCAGCTGACCGCTCGCTGGGCTCGAGGGCCGTGCTAGTGAGGGCTGTGTGGCTCTGGGGGTGATGGGCTGGAACCCTGACATGGCCCCAAACTGCCTGCCCGGCATGGCCTTGGACAGATGCTTAGACTCCGAGCCTCTGGTTCCTTCTACAACATGAATAAGACTTCCCCAAGGTCCCTTCCAGCTTTCACTTCTGTGGTCCTTTGTTGAGTTTGAAACCCAGCCTCAGGGAAGAGCAGGGAACAGAGGATGAGAGTGTGGTCAGTAGAGATGCTGAGACAAGGGAGGGTAAAGGTTTGGGACAATGACCATCTAAGAACCTGAGGTGTGGCATTAATGGATGACACATCCTGCCCCCTCCCACGGAAATAAAAAGTAGACCAGCACTGGGGTAGGAACAACAGTGGAGGGGGCTCATTTTTACAGAAGAATCTGGGCTCACTTACTTGGTGTGACCACCACGTAGGTCCCTTTCCCAAAAGTGAATCTGTTGTTTCCATAGTCACACTCTAGGTAACTGCATTACAAAAAGGTCCTGGTTTTCCCCACCCTCTAGTGGAGGTCACACACTCTTCACCGTAGCTCTGAAAGCTGGGAACCTGGAAAGGCGGACCCCAATGTTTTCCCTGTAAGGAGTGGGGGAGGGACTGAAGGAGCCTCCCTGATAGTTGTAACAGCACCAGCTACTCTGGTGGCTTCCATTTTCCTCACCACAGCTATCAACAAACACAGCCCCTGGCTATTTCTCCTCTAGGTAAAACAGTTTCACAAGACTGTGAAAACCTGCCTCCTACATGGGCCGGGAGGTGTGAGTAAATCTAGAGACTCGGGCAGCAGGCAGGCATTTCCCACCTCAGCTGCCAGGCCGGATAAGAAGACACCACTTTCTCGGGGACATGGGCAAAAGTGTATTCTCCACTTTGTCAGAAGGTGTAAGAGAAAGAGCATTCCCAGCACCCCGTGCTGGGGCACCTGCCACAGAGCCTGGGCCTGACTCCGAGAACCCACGTCTTCTCAGGCTGAGCAATCCAGCCTGGTGACTCAGCCTGACTCACTCCTGATTCTGTCCTCACCTCACTCAATGCTCCCTGCACAAAGGGGGCTTTCTGTCCTCAAGAAAGTCAAACATCTTAGCATAGAACACACTTTGCTCCTTTTCCTGAAACATCCATGGGCTGCGCTGGCTCTCTGCCCGGGAATTGGACTGTCCACTGGCAACGCTGTCCTGCCTCCGGCCCGCAGGGCTCCCCGCCAGGTCCCAGGTCCCATGCAGGACCAAACACAGCACCCACCTTAGCTCACTCACAGTGTCTGACATGACTGGAAGTTCTTGAGAGCAAGGGCATTATCTTAGCGTCTTCTTTTCTTTGCTTATTTCTTCTTAAAAAAACCAATCATGGTCCCTGGCTTGTTGATGATACTCAATAATCATTTAATGAATTGAACTTACTTTTACTGTCCATAATTATTGGGAAAAGGAGGCCCGTTTTGGGAGAGGTTAAAAGCTAAGTAAACGGGAGCTGCAACATCTAAGTGCTTAGGCAGAGAAAACCCAAGGAAGCATTTCTGAGAGAGACTGTCATGAGGCAGTATAAAACCCCAAGCGTCGGGAGGTTTATATGAACCTCAGCAAGGAGGGGGAAACGGGATGGTCAAGGAAAATCCTAGACTCCAAAGTAAACTCAAATATTTTTCTTCTGCTATCTTGACATAGATTCCCCTTAAAGGGTAAAAAGAATAACAACACAGAAAATATATATTCCAAGTCAGCAGCATTGTAATGTTCAATAACAACAAAATAGTGGTAGTAATAATGATGATGATATCCTATTACAGACCATGCTAAATGCTACATATAAAAACATAAATCCAGTATTGGGGATGGGGCTACACATTTCTGGAGATCTGACTTACGTGGGTTGATCAAAAGTCGAGTGCCAGTTCCAAATGTGAGTGTCTGAAAGCCTGTATTCACACTCTGAAATACCTCTGTACAGAATGGCACCCTGTAGCTGGGATTCCTCGGTCACACACACGTTAGTTACTGGGCGAGTTCCTGTGTCTCTGTGCATGTGCCAAAGTGGGAGGGGGGGATATAATTTAGCTATTTAACCTTCATTTTCCCAAGACCATTGGAAGATGACAAGAAATAAGGCAGAATCCAAAAGGAGATCCTGCTTTGTCTAGAGTGGGTTATATAAAAATGTCACAGCCATTCAGTTGAAAAAGCCATTCATATCATTATAGTGTTTCAGTCCTAGACAGGACTTTGGGCAGTTTTATCCACCCGTGCTTTTTAAGTGTGCAGTTCATGTTTCCTGCACGATTGATGCTCATGAATACTATCTAATGCTGCAGTATCACGTGAGGGCCACTTATCTTCTTTAAATAACAAACAAACCATGGGGGGAAAATCAGCGAAGACAGATGCCCCTCACTCATACAAACCAAGTTATTTCATGGAACTTACTTGCTTTAACAAATAGTCTTGTTCCTGTCCCAAAGAAAACTTTGAAGTTTCCAGTATTTCCCACAGTGGTTTGTGTTGTGACAAAATGGGCCATTTCCTTTTCCTTCCATTTTTATACTACAGCTGGGGAGTAGGCCCGGGGAGCATATGGGTCATTGTTAATAACAAGAGCACTTTTTAATACTCCCCCAACAAAACCCATTTGTTATTTCCCCCAGGTTCTCGAACATATCTCACAGCTCCTATCTACTGGAAGGTTAGTTCACCAAAGAGTAGTCACTGTTCTGTGAGAACCAGAGACCAGGATCCCCATCCCCAGGTTTTAATCCCAGCCCCAGATATCACTGACTTTATGATATTGGACAATTCAACCAACCTCCCTGGGGTGTAATTGTCTTATTAGAAAAATAAAGAAGTCTAAATGAGGCATTTCCTTAGCTCCCTTTCAGGGGTAAAATTATATCATCTAGCAATGTCCAAACTGCCCTCAATGTTGCATTTTTCTATAACACAAATGAGTCAGGCACTTGCAGATCAGTCAAACTGGTGACTGGTCCACCTGGAGAAATACAAGAAATAGTGAGGGAAAGGGGAAGTCAGAGCAAGGGAGTAGTTGCTGCCAGCTCTGCTCTCTCTTCTCTCCCTTGTAGTAAATGCTCCCAGTGGCCCTTGAACTTTTTGTTTCTTCATTAAAATGGGAAGAGAATACTTTGGACACCTGAGGCATTCAAGTCAAGATTTCCCAAAGCTCCGACTCTAAGTGATGGCAATATCTAAGAATACAAAAGATAAATTCCATGTATTTCCTTACTCACTGTGATTGGCATCATCTCTCATTTCTAAATAAGCCCTGGCATAGGGTCTGTGACATAATGTGGTAGAAAGAGCAAGGCTTGAGATCAGGAAGCTGACTCTGGTTTGAATCTAGACCCTGCCACTTATTAAT